ATGCTGCCAATTGGCCCAGTGGTAAGAATCTTTGTTTTCTTGATGTTGAGCTTCAATCCATACTGAAGGCTGCAGGCCTTGACCTCCTGCAGAAAGTGCTTCAGGTCCTCCTCAGTTTCAACCAGCAGGGTTATGTCATCTGCATAACACAGGTTGTTGATGACTCTTCCACCAATCCTAATGCCATATTCCTCCTAGTACAGCCCAGCGTCTCAAATGATCTGTTCTGCATACAGATTGAAAAGGTATGTATAGCATGTTCAATTATCATTCATTACCACCTCAATTTAAAGATATAATTTCTTCTCCAATCTTCTGTATTAACTATCCAACTTTCACATGTGATTAAAGCAAGTGAAAAGAATACCATGTCTTAGTTCAGATTCCCTCTACTCTTTAAACTGACATCCTTGTTTAAACAATGTTGTTGTTAGGTGTTGTTGAGTCAACTACAATTCATAACAGTCCTATGAACGATGGATCTAACTCTGTGCTACCCTCATCCTCTCCGATATACTTGAGTCCATTATTATAACCAGTGTCCCAATCCATCTCTTTTAGGATCTTCTTCTCTTTTATTGACCCAGGAGTGGTTTCTTCTAATAACATGCCCAGAATGTGTGAGGTTAAGTTTTACCATCCTTGCCTCCAAGGAGTGCCTGGGCTGCACGTTTCCCCAATGCTATTTATTCATCCTTTTGACTGTCTGGGGGGATATTTAATACTCTTCTCCAGCATCATAACTCAAAAGCATCAAGTCTCAGATGCATAACATGTAATTGAAAAGACAATGGCTCAAATCAGATCATTGTTCCGTAACACTTTAGAGAGCTCTTTAACAACTGACTTCACCAACACAATATTACTTTTTATCTCCTGCCTGGTGATGCTAAGGGTTTTGATTGTGGAGCGAAGCAAGATGAAATTATTGACAACCTCAATCTTTTCTCCATCAATCATGATGTTTCTTATCGGCTCTGTGTCAGGATTTTTGTCTTCTTGATGTTGAGATATAATCCAAACTGAAATCTGTAGTCTATGATCTCCTACAGCAAGCTTTCCAAGTCCTCTTCACTTTTGGCAAGCAAGGTTGTGTCATTTACATAACACAGTTTGCTGATGAGTCTTCCTTCAATCCTGATTCTACATTCTCCCTTGTATAGTCCAGTCTCTCAGATTATTTGCTTGGCATACAGACTGAGTAGGTATGGAGAAATGATACAGCCCTGACACACGACTTTCTTGATTTTAAACCATACATGTTTCCTTGCTCTATTCATATGACAGTTTATTGATTGAAGTATAGGTTTCATATGAGCACAATTAAGGGTTTGGGGGGTTCCCATTCCTCTCAGTATTTAGCTTATTTATTGAAGAATGTCTTCCTTGAGTATTGTCCTCTTTTAAGACTTAAGTGAAAGAAAATGGACTACAACAACTCAAAAGGTTAATTGAGAAGCTTAAGGGGCAGTGAATTCATGTTGATAGAGGGGGAATAAGTCAGAAAAGGAAGGTGAGAATGGTTGCACAGTTTGAATATAATCCATACCACTGATTAGTACATGTACAAATTGTTAGGTTATTGCTTGTTTAGT